TGAGTCTTCATTACTAGACTCAAAAAACAGGATCTCCTGCAGGTTGGGTCTCCTCATCACACTGGCCAGATAAGTTCTGGCTGTGGTGGAGGCCTGTGTGCCTGATTTAAAAAAAGAGGTTAGATTCATGTTGACTATACCCCAAACTACTGTAGGGGTTTGCCTTGTGGCAAAGTCCAACCTCCTCAACCCAGAACTGGAACCCCTCTCTTCCTCTGTACTGGCCCCTTGCACTAGATGCCAGTTGTACCCAGGTGCAGACAAAAATCTCTGCAACCAACGCTGCCCAAGTGCTTGCTTTTCCCTACCTCTCAGCCACACTTCTCCTTACAGCCTTCACTACAGAAGCCTGTCCAATCTTCCAGGCAGAAAGGAGAGCCTTCCTGACCCCATCCTCTTAATGCGCCTTATAACTTGGTAAAAACTCTAGCAATGGGTTGTCTGGTATGGTTTTTATGTATGTGCATGCTTTCCTGTCAGGCCTAGCAAATCACTGCACAGGAAACAGCCTACAGGTCCTTGGAGAAGTAACTGGTGTGGACCTGGGGAAGTATAAGACTTGGACACATCTTGCTATGCTCCTCCTCCTCCCTCACTCTGTCAACGAGGAGCCGGGCTGAAAGAACTTCAATTCGACCAAATGTGGAACAATGTGAGTAATGAAAAAAATACATACCACTGACTCCTAAGCCAGCAGAAAAGGGTAGAGGGAGGAATCCACAGAAGCCATAGGTAAGAAACAGGAAAAAAGGAGGCCCCACTTGGAGAATGCCAGTGTCACGTGGCACTGTGGAATCAAATCTTTGTGAGCTGGTTCAGGCAAGATTCATGACTAAATGCCAAACCTCACAAACATCTCTGATTTGTTTTTTGAGACAGGGTCTTCCTATGTAGCCTTGGCTGGCCTGGGATTCTCTACATAGACCAGATCAGCCTTGAACTCATAAAGGTCTGCCTGCCTCTGTCTTCAGAGTGCAGGGATTAAACACGTGTGCCATGCATGGTGCCAGCCTCTCAAGGACACTTTGATGAAAAGTAGGCTATTAACACATCGTTAAAGTTTTTCCCACATATTGCTTATTAGGTGCCCTAGAGAAGGTAGAAAAGAACATGGCTTGGGTGTACAGGTGAATCAAATAACATCAATGCCAAGAGGCTGATGGACACCAACCCTCCCAGAGTGAAACTCCACGAAAAACACATCACGACCGTGCAGTACTATAGCAGACTGACAAAATGCAACTAAAACCATTAAGAAACAGACCCTAAATGATGCTCTAATTTTAAAACCCATGAAAGCGTGATGTGTGTGTGTGTGTGTGTGTGTGTGTGTGTGTGTGTGTGTGTGGTGTGTGTAACTACAACAAAGGGTCCTATTTTAAGATGTTGAAACTAAACATAACACCTGCTCATGGGTGAGCCCTACCCTGGAGGGGAAGCTTTGGAAAAAGAGCATCAGCAGAGCAACAGACAGACGTGGACCACGGTGGAGGCCCAGGAATAGCGCTGGCGTGAGCTCCCTGAAGATGACGTGTGCTGCAGTGACTGGCTTTGCAGACCAGTGTCTGTCTGTGCTATCAGCAAACAGCTTTCAGGAAGGAAAAGTCATGATCATCACAACCAGCTCTCAGAAAGCCCCCAATGGGGGCCCCTGCTGATTTATTCAGATGGGCCCAGAGAACTTTGTTTTTCCCCCCCGTAGAGCTTCCAAGACTGAGGTGTCCAGAGTGGTATGTATATATGGTCACATGGGACCATTTCACTGAACCTCTGAGAGCAGGCCAGCAAGCATGTCCCAACAAACTGCCCAGCTCTAGTTCTCATAGGCACCACATTCACTCCTTAGTCTATGAGCTCGTAGATCCTATATGTATGTCCCTTATTCCCCACAAAACTTTAGCAGAATGCTTTGAAAGGTCATCTCAATAAACACCTGTCATTTCGCTTTGATAGTGAGTGACAGAGGTAAAATGACACCGCAGCATGTGAAGACAACACCATGGAGAGGGCCTTACTCTGAAAACAATCAAGAAAGTGACATTACCACAATGTCATAAAAACCAGCTGAGTCACCACATACTAAAAACATGCAAAATGGATGAAAGTTCTTACACTAGAGCTTGACATCACAAAACCAAGCTAATGGGTCACAAAACCCAGCATTCCGGTGCTGTGCATGGCCCAGGCTCAATGACAGTGGCCAGACTTAGAACATCCTCTAGGTGGCCTGAGGAGACAAAACTCCTGCAACAGGAAAGATCAAATTTGTCACCCTATCAAGTAGAAATGCAACAAGCAAACCTATTCTATGTGACTGTCTCTCTTCCGAGAAGTTGGGCTGTGGAAGGCGCCCTAGGATGTTGGACCATCCCACCCACACCACATGCCCTTTCTAATTGGCACCCGGAAAGATTTCACAGGAAAAGGGTGTTCCTTTGGTATTGTTGACATAAAGGTTATCTAGTCACAGTGAGGCAGACGAGAATTCATCTCCAAAATTCACCTCCTTATTGAAAGCCCAGGAAACATCCTGGCAATTAACAATTCCTATCACCTACAGCTGTCCTATGTGAGAAGGCTCAGAACTCGCCTTACAAATTGCTCTTTTGAAGATCAAAGGGAAGCTGAATGTGTCTGTGTGTGCTCTCGATGAGACTGTAATTTAATGGAATTTTTACAGAAGGCTTTGCTGGCAGTGCTTGGATGACAGCCCCAGGGCGGAGGATTCAGGGGAGCTTGGCCACTCTTCCCTTTGGAGCATCTTCTCTGCCTTTAATTGGCACCTCATTAGAAATTAATGAAAATGACATCTTCTGTTCTTCCTGCTCTAGGCACCGAATGCTACAAAAAGGCCCATCACAATTCATAACACATTCAATTTATATAGCAATGGCTCTTAAGCATTATTTATGAGATGTGAACTTCTTGTCAGCAGTTAATAACCTGTATAGAATGGAAGGGGAATGGAAGAAAAGATTGCGAATATATACAGAAAAAGATTTTTCCGCAGTGGAGAAGTGTTCTAATTTAAGTTCAACTACGTCGAGTCTTCACTTTCAGTAGTAAGTGTGCTTCCCTTTAACAGCTTCCAGGGTAGTCGGTATTTTCCCACCTCTCTGTGGACCCTCACGGAAATCACCACACAGCTCACCCTTCCCTAGAGGAACTCAAGCAGGCAGACAGGAGGGAGCAACACAAAGCAGTTCATCAAAGCCCCGGAGCATACGCTCACCCCGTTACCCTCCATCCTTTAAACAGTGGCAGGTGACTCAGTCAGTTTTCTGGGCTTGTGGTCTAAGGTTCTCCAGCTCTCTAGGAAGGCTCCCTCTGAAGGGACTTTTTTCTTAAAACTGGACAAGGAACTACATGTTGTTAGGTAACTGAGAAAGAACTCAGGTCTATAAAGAACTTCAGAACCCACTTAGAAAGCCAGGCTTCTAGCCAGGAGGTAAAGAGCTTGTGGCATAACTCAGACACTTTGATGGTGCGGATGGCCACAGTTGAGAAGCAAAGGGTCATCTATTAAGTACTTCTGAACTTTTTTCAGCTAGGTGCTATGACCTTTGGAAGCTGAGTGGTTTGCATCAAAGATGCAGGGTAAATGTAGAGACGTGGGTCTTCTAAACTACTCTGAACTCTCCCTGGCCTGCCTAGGAGGAAAGGAAACATTCACACTGTCAGAGGAGAGGCAGCGAGCACCCCGTGGACAGCTGTCTGGTCTACTTCAGCAAATCCTGCCCACTACCAGGATTCTACTCAGTCACCTTTGAGGAGGAAACAAATTCTACCATTCTGAGGAACAACAAGCCTGTATATTAAGGGCAACAGAGGAAATAGTATGGAGGCTTCTCAACACAGCTAACAGAATGAATCACTGAAAACCAGCACAGCTCATCTCAACACAGAAGCAAGAACCTGCAACCTTACGGATCACACCGACCTTTCAGATGAAGCGAAGTCACCAGACTCCAAAACTTCCTTAGCTCGCCACAGAAGCCTTCTCTGCCTTACCAGGGCACACCACAGGCTCTGATATAAGCCGAGCCTAATACCCTGTGGACAGTCTGCTCCCGCCAATCCCAATTCTCTTCTTTATACTTCTCTATGCACAACTGAATGCCACACCCAGCTCCCTGTCTCCAAGGCTGAAGGTTTACCAGCTAGACAGTGACAAACACAGAGGGCTGCTGCCAGAAACAGCTGCTCTGACTCAATTTCCAGAAGCCAGCCCATGCCCTACTTGCCCATTTCCACAGATGGCTGAGGGGCCACAGCAGAAAAGGTCATCTCTTCAGAGACAGACAATGCCCCCCAAATTCAACTTCAGCAGTGCACAGGGCACTGTGCAGCCCTGTGCCAGCAAACAGTGTGAGATAAGCCCTGAGGAGAGTTAAAGCTCTCTTCCTGAAATGAAAGATGGAGAGTTCTCAGAGGCTTTGCTCAGAGTCCACCAGGTAGCAGCTCTGTTCCACAAACCAATTTTTCTCATAGCATGTTCCAAAATTCAGAAACTAAAAAAAAGGAACAGGAAAACTGTAAGTGAGCTGAAAATAATGCAGCTACAATTTTACCTTTTTGACATGGTACATGTGGTCATGAAGAAAAGCAGAATTTGCCTAAATTTTGTTCCGGTGTATACAAGATCTAAAAATTACACCATGTGCAAAGTCCAAAGAGGTGGCAGAACGAAGGAGGACAGATGATACTCCAGCTGCTTCACGGTGTTAACTCACTGGGTCAGTGAGGGTTCCAGAAGAAAAGCTTCTAATCAAACCATGATTGAAAAAGGATGTGGATGGGGAATATATATTAAAAGTTCATCTAAAATGAATTGTCTCTCCGGTCTATGCTACACACCACAGACTCGTTAGTTTGCATAATTTCTTAAGTATTAAATGGGAAAAGAAGCAGAGCAGTGAGCAGGACGGAGACAGTGGACGCACCACGCAGTGTCAGAGACAGAGTGGGGTCAGGAAGGAGCCCTGAGTAGGGGTGCTCACCACAGCGACAGGATCCTAGTTCCTGCTGCACCAGCTCCAGCTTGGTCTGGCACTGGAAGCACCGACGCCGACTCTTCTGCTTCGACCGGCTGCTTTCCTCAGTCCGCTCAGTGTTCTCTAGTAGTCGCGGCCGTTTCACGGGTGAAGCCTCGTTCTCAGACTGTGAATCTGACCAAGACAACACATTTGGGGATCAGGACTAGTGCCTGGCTGGGCAGACAACTGTCCAGAGCAATGCCAAGCCTCCCCAGTTAGCTCTTCATACTGTAGTCAAGTGACTCAAGTCTTCCTGCTTCAAACCACTAACAACCCTTTCTCAAAAAAGGGGTCTTAGTGCTTTATCAAGAACCTCAAAAGGCCTGCACAGTTTGCCCTTCAAGCCTCTCATTCTCTCTGTATCTTGCTGCTCTCTCTCAGGGCTCCATCGACATTTGGCTCTTGATTATCTTTGACCTCTGGTCTCAGTACCTTTCAGTTCTCTCTTCACAACTACTCACTCACTGCTACATGGAACCCTTTTTAATTAAGTCTTCGCTCCCCAGTCAAATTTCCCACTAAGTCTCGTTCCTGAATTATCCCATGTGGAGCACTGTTTTCCCTGTCCACAGCACACTGGCCCTCCCTCCTCTTGCCTTATGTTGGCCTCCTGTGAGAAGCATGGCCTACGAGGGTTAGGAGATTGTCACAGGACACGCTAGCTTCGTCTGAAAGGCAGCTCTGAGACAGTCTTTGTTAACAGTTCCATTCTTTTGTGTATTCAAGCTGTAAAGAGACTGAGTGGGAAATGGTGGGATTGTGGAAGGACAGGGCCTGGCTAGGGAAGGAGGTTACTGGGACATGTCCCCTGGTGGACTATCTTGCCCTGGACTCTTCCTGTCAGCCAAAATGTGAGCTGTTTCACTCCTCCTCTCTTCTGCACACACTGAAACCTCTGAAAACAGAAGCAAACTAAACCTAAGAATCTTGCCTGCTGGGTGTCTGTCACAGGAATGAAAACCAAACACCCCTTAGCTCTTCTAGAGAGGACGGGTGTGTTCCCCTGCTTCCTGACTGTGCGATGGTGAGCGCTGGATGGCTGGCTGGACCCTCTCCTGGCAGTCCTTGCTTTCTAGTTTGAGAAGATGGAGCAGGGAGGGACACACTGGCACAGCTGTCTCTGTGTGGAGGGGATGTTTTACCAGACCATCGACTGGTTCCAGCAACAGAAGGGCAGTGTGTCCAGTTCCGGCCCCGCCACCAGTACAGATGCCATGCACCATTCTTCCCCAGTACAAGCCTTATCTCATCCAATTCTTCCAGCCCTGTACGAGATCTCCCCAACACAAACCAACTGAATAAGCCCTCCTACGAAAAGCAAGTTCAGTCTATTTCCCAGCTCTGCTGAGCAAAGCTGTCCAGACCCAGTTAGTGTAGTGCCTAAGGCTGCCACAGGTCAAACCCCCCCCCTTCTTCTGCCGGCAAAAGAACAAAAAGCAACAATCTAAATGTAAATCATTACAAAGCAGCCAGCCAAAAGGAATTCACCTCAAATGAGGCACACTGCTCTCCTGGGGGTCCTTTTCCACAAAAATGGCGCTATTTGTGATAATAACCCTATTTAGATACCTAACAAAAACCTCTGCTGCTTGTCCTACTTGAAGTATCTTTTAAAGAAATGTCCCTTAAACTGGAATGAGAGGTGTGGCACATACAACAAGGTGGAGGCAACTTGAAAACTCCCATTTTTTTTTTAAGTTATTTTGAGGAGGGTACAGACAAAAGGAGAGGAGGAGGGGCAGGGGAAGGGAAGAGGGAAGGGAGAAAGAGTAGAGAGGGAAGAAAGGAGTATTGTGTCACCCACACCACATAAATGTGGAAGCCCTCTGAGGCCAGAAGAGGGTATCAGATTCCTTGGAACTAGAGTTACAGGTAGGTATAACCACCTGGTTTATAAACAGCTGGGCACTGAACCCAGTCCTCTGAAAGAGAAGGAAATGCTCCTTACTTCTAAACCTTCTTTCCAGACCGAAAACTTAGGTAGGTAGGTAGGTAGGTAGGTAGGTAGGTAGGTAGGTAGGTAGGTGGATGGATAGATGGATGGATGCATAGATAGATAGATAGATAGATAGATAGATAGATAGATAGATAGATGATAGATAGATAGATAGATAGATAGATAGATAGATAGATAGATAATCTTGTTAAAGCTGAATATGGTGGCACACCACAATCTCAACACTCACAAACTAAAGGCATTCAGATCTCTGGAGGTTCAAGGTCATCTGGGTCTACATAACAACTTGCAAGCCAGTTGAGCTACACAGTGAGAACCTGACCATGGATGGATGGATGGATGGATGGATGGATGGATGGATGGATGGATGGGTGGATGGGTGGGTGGGTGGGTAACAAGCTGAACATGGATATTACGCATGATGCTAATACACTGATCATGTAAAATATAACCCCTCAGATCATGGGCCTCTTTCACCTCCATCTCTGAAAAGTACACTGGTCTGGAAAAGCACAAAGCTGGAATTCAAAGCTTCTTTGAGGAGTTTGGCCCAAACAGCCAAGTGTGTCACCTACTGCAGAGTACATGATTCCCTTTCTAGAGGAAACTTTAATTTCAGCTGTCAACAGCGCTAAAGAGGGAAGCCCTGTGATGTTCAATGGCATCAGGACGGAGATGTGAAGACAAGCCTTCATGCTGCAAGTGGCCATGGGTGGGAACCAGATTTCAGGTCTGCATGGTCTTACTGCGTGTCTTCACTGAACACCTGCTTTTATGGCGTACCACCAAGGTAAGATGGTCCAGGCCAGATCTCTTCTCCTCTTAAGTTTCATCTAATCAGACTATATGCTAAACAGTGTCAATAATAATGGTAGGGACCAATCTGCATGGTCCTGTGCCAAGATTCCCTTTAGCCATTCCACTTTAATATAAACGCTGAAACAGTTTCTGGAGGCAATGCACTGGCCCTTGTTCCTCCGAGAGTCAGTGTCTTAGCATCTGCACAAGTCTACAACCAAACACATCTGTGCACAGCTGTGCTGTGAGCTACAGTCTTCTGTGACTCTATACCAGTGGCTCTCAACCTTCCTCATGCTGCCACCCTTTTATAGTTCCTTATGTTGTGGTGATCCCCAACCATAAAATCACCTCTTGCCACTTTATAACTGTAATTTTGCTGCTGTTGTGAATCATAATGTTAATATTTGCAAGATATCTGATATTGACTCCTGTAAGTGTCCTCTGAACCACCCCCCAAGGGGATCATACCCACAGGCTGAGAACCACTGCTCTAAATCACAATGAACTACCCCCGCAGACTGTGTCACTCTTTCCAGATCCTAAGAGAACAGAGCATTAGAGCTCTGGGATACACTGACTTTCTCTGCCATCTCTGATGGTCTACATGAAGTGGAAAGAAGCCCTACTGTCCTCTGATGTTCCCTGCTGTGAGGAAGAACAGACTGAAGCTCCCAAACTGTGTGCTGCATGCTGTCATGGCTGACTGCACCACATGTCTCTTCTTGGTAAAGTAAGTCATTCTCTGACATTTTCCACAGGTCAACTCGGTGTTTTAATTAGAAGCTAATGAAATCAACAGAAGACCATAGGCTCAGTGTCATGGCTACGGAAGGATTTTATATCTCCTCTGCTAATTATTTAATGAAACCTTGTACTGTGGGGTGAGTTGCCTAAATAAGAGAAACAGATGTCTAGTGCCGGGATTCTAATTACATAATAATGAACTAAATAATTCAACTACTCAATTATAAATTTTAAGTCAGTTAGAAAAAGACTATCAGAAAAGACCCAAATACGACTTAACAGTAAAAGAGCTGTCTACCGTTCACCTGGAATCAAAAATTGATTATTTGCCTTCTGTTTCTAAGTTTCGGCCCCTCTAATTTGAAGCATTTTCAGTTTTGGGAACAATGGCAGAAACCATCTAATTAATCTATTTGCATATGCTGAACTCAGGCGGTAAGGGTTAAACACGGAGAGCAAGGTGAACAGAAATAACTCTCGCACTCGGCTTTAACTGTCAGAAGAAACACGTCCAGGAAAGGAGCATGCTCATTAGCAGCAGGAGGAGCTGCCGTGGCAAGCTAGACACAGTTCCCACCCCAGGAGTTAGCAGTCTCCTAATTAAGGTCCTCCATAAAGAGCCAACAAAGCAGATTTTTCCCAATGTTCTTCCTCTTGAGAACTCCTCTGGGCTTGTGTACCCACACAAGGCTGCAGCACCCCCATGCCAGCTCACAGCCCTTCACACTTGAGACCCCTCTCCTCAGCCAGTGTCTAACGACAAAGACACCACACAAGATCTTCTAAGAAAAATTTCACCTATTTACCCATGTCCAATTTCTTGGTCTGAAGGCAACCACTGCTCAACGTGTGACAGAGGAAACAAGTACAATGTTTTTAAAATGTCTACAGAGAGAAATTCCTCTAATTGGACTTTGCTAGCCAAGTGCAGACAGTAACTAGCACTGAGTCTTTCAACTCAGGAATACATTTACAATGAAAGCCTGACGGCAACAAACAGGGCTGCTGCTTTTCAAACTGTTTTGTCTCTGACAGAGATCCACGTTTGTTCTTACTGTCACTGTTCTTGTCTTTATTACTCATGTTCTCTCCTGAAATTTTCCAAATGAATTGTGTCGGGCCTGTCAAAATTGCATCCCATCTCTCTTACTCTCCTGGCAATGTGCAGCTGGCAACCCACGCCCACCCTAGGCTGCTAACAGTAGCTGTGGCCTGCTGGTATCTCACAGGCTCTCGCCCCCGGCTCCAGCCAGCCCTCCACACAGAACCCCAAAGACAGAGACAAAGTGCAACAGAGAAGAAAACCTCCCCCAGCTCGTCCACCCACGCCTTCCACACCGCTAAGAAACAGAGGAGCCTGTTTAATCTCAGGCTCTGTGGCAGCTTTTGAGGTACTCAATCAGTTTTTTTAGAACCTATCACAGTCTCTTGACAGATTGACATTTATGATCCCAACAGCCTGTGCAAACATCAGTAAGAGCAATAATTAATGAACCCTCACACATCACCGCTGTCTCTCCTTCCACCATTTAAAGGAGCTTAAGCTGCTAAAACCTCTGTCCACAAAAACTACCACCCTCTCCCTGGAAAAACTGATAAAAGAGACTTGAAAGGGCCTGTTTTACAGGTT